TAGGACGCAAGCAGATTTTGACATCAAATTTTGGGGTAATAAAGTGCGTCTTATACACCGAAAAATACGGTACACAAAAGGACTGTTCCGTCCTTTAAGGCTATCTTTACACACCCACCTTCGAGAAAGAAAAAATATTGTTTTTTAGCAAATTACTGTTTCTCAACCTCGGTTGTCATGGTGTGATGTAATTGTCTATATTTCAGCTTCAAGAAGTCATGGGCTACTGTCCTCATGAAACATGTCACGACAGTCTCCCGTTCTTTTCAACTATAAAAGTCGAAATGACTCATTTCAGCGGGAATATCTCCTAGAGGTCGGAACAATATGATAAAAACTTAGCTTGGTTTTATTTTGCTAGAAGGAAAGGAGCTCGTGAATAACTTTCACCACAATTACAGTTCCGATTTTATAAAGTTTGTGAAAAGCATGCTTTATAATTTTGTACTTCATCTGAATTATGATGTTGAAATACGATGGGAAAATAAATATTTTTTGTTTTAGAATATGATAGGATAGGCTTAGTTAAGTAATTTTACACACGACATTATTGTTTGTTTGTTTTTGAATTTCGCGCAAAGCTACAAGAGGGCTATCTGCGCTAGCCGTCCCTAATTTAGCAGTGTAAGACTAAAGGGAAGGCAGCTAGTCATCACTGCCAACTATTGGGCTACTCTTTTACCAACGAATAGTGGGATTGACCGTAACTTATAACGCCCCCACGGCTGAAAGGGTGAGCATGTTTGGTGGGACGGGGATTCGAACCCGCGACCCTCAGATTGCGAGTCGAGTGCCCTAACCATCTGGCCATGCCGGACCCCACACGACCTTATAAAGTTTCGCATCGCCGACAAGGTATCTGTGTTGCTCTTAGGCCTCGTTTGCATTAGGCCATGTAGAACAACAACAAAAAATTAATGTAATTTTAAAGTCATTAAAATTTTTGACATCACAGTATGCAATTATGTAGAAAACTGTAAATTATATGTTAGTGTGAATGAAACCTTTTTCGAGCGAATTTAGTTGTTATTTCAATTGTGTGTATTAGATGACGGTATATATCATGCTTGTAATATACGAAGTGTTTGGTGATTGAGTACCACTTTGTTGCACTAGAATATTTAAATTATATAATGTGAATAGTATAAATAGTTAGGTTCTATATTGATCGTGAATAAATTTAAATTTAGAATAAAATGTTATGTTTTAATTTGGTGTAGCAATGTACAAAAAATAAGGATTTGCATGTGCGCTTTAGCGTATTTCCAAAAATGGTATTCAAATAATTGAATTTTAAATAATGATAGCGTTTTCCTATATTTCTGTATTACTAGTATTGGGTTGATCAGGAAGTTTCTGGTGATTAATATTATTTTATTGTATTTACTTTGCGATCGTTCCAACAACCTTGGTTGATCAATGGCTAGCTTTCAACAATAAACAACTGAACTTTGAATTTTAGTGTTATAAGCCTCCAAGCTACAGCTGAGTCGCTGTGACCAGGCGCTTTACTTGATATTTGTAAACTATACTGAACTATTTAAAAACTTTAAAACGTTTGTTTAATAACTTTTTATGTTTTGGAAAGAGACTAAAGTGTTGTTTGAAAGAAATTTTTAGCAGGAAGAAAATTTTTGGGGTTGCTGATATTGACAACCAGAATTTTTTTATATAACATGTCTTCATGCCCTTGCGTGTTATCTTCATAAAGTGCCCATGTCGACTACTTCATACTAAACTATTGTCTTATTGTGTGTGTGTGTGTGATCAGAAAGTAAAATATATTTTGTTGATAAAATACTTGTAGTTTTTGATTATAACTATATATTTGTTTTGTTTCAGTAGCTTTGAGATTGACATTAATGCATTTGTCAGAAAAATCATCAAAAATGTGATGATTTAGTTATTGTCATTTGAACTGCAAGATGATAACCCTACATAATTTTATCTGTTTTTGAAGGATTTTCTCATCATCCTCATGTGCATCCTAGATTTTGATCTGGTCCAGTGAGCTGAATCAAAAAATAAACAAGTGCTTTCATTGAGCTGAAGGATGAATCCACTTTAGCTATTGCTGTTTGCTAGTAAAGCATTTTGTTTTTAAATACTCAATACTAAACACACTTGAGTTGCTTATCTTTTACATGCAAGGTTCTTCTGGTCTCCAGCCTGTTAAGTGTAAATTTTCTAGCTGAGGGTTTTTATTTATTATGTTAAGATATTCACTACCAGGATTTGCTCTTATGTGTAATGAGGTGATAAAAAAACAAACAAGAAGCATTTTTGCCAACAAAGCTAGTTTGGGGTTAACTTAGAAGTTAGGAATTCAGTGTACTTTGCTATCACAGGATGACCCTTTATTTTCACATAAGTGCAAATGTCTCATCTATGACAAAGATGAAACTCCTTTATAAGCATAAGTGAAATAAAATAAGTAAACATCTATAGTAATTTTACAGAACATTTTGTATTTTGGGATAAAGTGAGCTTGTACTTCTTGAAACATCTCCAGTACATATACATTTTTGGCATCTATGTTTTAATTGTTTTCCTGTAAACCTTTTTAATTTGTAAGTGTTTGTAGCATCCATATAGAGACTTTTTAGCAACAGATGAAGTGAGTTTTTGTATATTAGAGCACAAAGATGCTTTAGGACGTTTATTCCTCCAATTCAGTATGTTATGCTATACCCCTTTTTTAACTTTGACATTTCTGTGGATATTTATTAACAGACAGTAATTTTAAAATTAAAGTATAATCCTGATGGTAATGACACTTAATGTTTATACTTAGTGAACATTTTTATGTTTTAGTAATTTTATAGTGGTTTTTAAACAACATGAATATTGACATAATTAAAAACTTGAATAACATATACATATCATTATATCTTCTTGTCTCAGTGATGCCAGTGATATGGAAGATGAAGACATGAAAGTTCAAAAATTAGAGAGTGAACAAACAAAAAGGTATTTGAACACTTCTCATTCGCCGTGTTAAGTTTTGGTATTTACATTAATCAATGTAAGCATATTTTTTAATTCAGGTTTTACCTGTGCTGTTTTTTTGTAAGAGTCAAAGTCATCTGTCTATCAATAGTGATGGGTGATATAGAATTAGCTGTATTTGGGCTGACTGTCTTTACCTTGTTATTACAATTTTCAGACACGCAGAGATGGAATGCAAAAGCTTTCAATCAGATCTCTATGTTGCTATTTATGTGAACGATTTAACACCAAGAAACTTTAGTTCAATTAAGAAAAACCCCGTTAATTACAAAAACAACATTCTGTATTAACTCACTTGTTACAAACAGCATAATACATTTTTATGCTCAGTTTTTAAATGTGTATATTCATTACAGTTTCAGTAACTTTTATCATCATCATTAGGCTTAGACTAATTTATTTTGGTAGTTTAAGTTTATTTGAAGTTTTCTTGTTGTTGACCAAATTGAGAATAACAATGACCACAAAGTATATATTGTTGTTAGTGCAATAACAGTACTTGCAAGTAGGAAAGAAAATATGTGAAAAAATGCACACAAAATTAATGAATGTGTACATCAAAATCAAGCATAATTAATTTTTTTTATTTTTTTTACTGCAGTGTTTCTTAATTATGCTTCTACTATTGTGGATATTTGCAAATATAGGAATTACAAAATATGTCGTATTATTAGGGTGTTGATGGTTTTTACTTACAAATATAGGAATTACAAAATATGTCGTATTATTAGGGTGTTGATGGTTTTTACTTACAAATATAGGAATTACAAAATATGTCAGTATTATTAGGGTGTTGATGGTTTTTACTTACAAATATAGGAATTACAAAATATGTCAGTATTATTAGGGTGTTGATGGTTTTTACTTACAAATATAGGAATTACAAAATATGTCATATTATTAGAGTGTTGATGGTTTTTACTTGCAAATATAGGAATTACAAAATATGTCGTATTATTAGGGTGTTGATGGTTTTTACTTACAAATATAGGAATTACAAAATATTCTTGTCATATTGTTAGGGTGTTGAGGGTTTTTACCATCACTTAAGAACAGTTAATTAATTTTGGAAACCAATTTTTCTTATGGCAAATTTTGGTAAGGTACATATATGCAGTTTATAGAATCTTAATATTTTTTGTGTTTATATCTTTAAAAGAGTTTAATTTCATGAAGTATAGTAAGCCATAAAACATAAATTAGAATATAACATAAAACTAAATAGATTATAGTTTCACAAACTCCAGTGTTGTTATATATTTCTTGCAGTATTTGGATTGAAGGATATAAATTATCTTATTACAAGAACTGAAGAACAGAGATTGTTTCCATATATTATATATGTTATTGACTTTAAAAACTTGTTTTATTTCATGAGCATGTATATATTTTCTGTATATACTATAGTGTATTTTAATATATAAGTTTTTATTGTTGCCATAATAATTGTGTAGTTAATCATTCTTGAAAATTTTCATGTATCAGATAAACATTCATATATTTAGATTGTGTTTTGGAAGAAAGATTTTTATAATATCTGCCGTTATCCACAGACATAATCATAGTGAAATTGAAAAGCGCCGAAGAGACAAAATGAACACATACATCACCGAACTCTCCTCAATGGTACCCATGTGCAAAGCCATGTCTCGTAAATTGGACAAGTTAACGGTTCTTCGAATGGCAGTTCAACATATGAAAACATTAAGAGGTAAATTTTCATTTGTCATTGTTAGATTTGCAAGGTTAGCAATGCAGGTTCCCTAGAAAGTTAAATTTAGGTATGATTTCAACATGACAGTTATAAAAGTGATCTGGGGTAAACTATATATGTATATAAAACTGAACTGTATAATTCAAGGAAAACAAGGCACATGTTCATCCATTTAGAGCATCTCATATAGCTAAATAAACTTTAAAATTAATATAAAACACGCAAAGACAGCCTTTATTATTCAAATATTTAATTATCCTTCCCTTAAATTAATTGCATCCACCACATCTGAAGGCAACCCTTTCCAAAGACCAACCACTATGTTAAAAAATGTAAAGCTGTCTTTGCTGAAGATAACTCCTACCCTACCAAACTTTATATTTGTATCCCCTAGTTTTACTATTTTCAGAAGTATGAAAAAAATATTATGTATCAACACTGTCAGTTCCCTTGACAATCATAAACATCTCATCTAACTCTTCTTTTATTAAGAGAAAACAATTTCAGATATTTTTAACCTGTCCTCATATAACAACCTTTCCATCTCAAGTATCATCTTAGTAGCCCTCCCCTGAACCCTTTCCAACAGTTCAGTGCCTTTCTTAAGGTAAGATGTCCAAGAATGAACACAGTACTCCAAATGTGGCCTAACCATGGGCAATAATAGGTGTTATCTACTTTTAGAATAAGAAAGAAACAAAGGTAACTTGAAACAAGATCAACTTAGCAGGCTTCTTGACTATGTACAATGCGATACCTGCATATATTTAGATCAAACAATAGATTAAATATTACAACACTAAATGAAGATAGGAACACATGATATATTCAAATTCCAAACTTTCTTGCCTTTCCTTCTTCATTCTTGTCCCAATCTGATAATTAACATTAATTTTACTACCAATGACTTTAAAACACGTACATGTCACACAGACATCACAACACATTAAAAATATACAAAAATGCAATAGAAAATCAGCCATTAAACAAAGAAAAATATATTACACAATCAAAGATTATCAAAACCTGAATGTATATATATTTTAACAGTGATCACCTACTCCCTTTTGGAGGGGGTATTCTAACACACTATGTCAAAAAGTGAAAACCCATTAACTATAAACCAAAAAGTACAAAATCTAAAATCAATAATGGGACATCCTTTAATTAACAAGTATAATCGGTACATTGTCAAGAAGTATTGTTAAAATGGATTCAGTTAAGAGTTTAAATGCCCTTTAACAATGATAATTTATTTTAATCAATTTTCAGTAACAAATTCAGAATAGAAATTAGTTAAATAAAAAAACCTCTTTAATTATATTCCTTTTTAAACATATAGTATGCAAAAACTAAAACCCATCAAATACAGCTACATTGGCATAATAAACAAAAGTGATTTAAAAAATAAAGTTACAAAACATTTTAATTAATACAAATTAAAATGACAATACATACATATTAACACAGATCCTTTGACTCAAAAACTCAAGTAAAGTAAATGTTTACCAAATAAAAAGTTAAATGAATCATTTAAAATACAACAGAATATAAAATCAAGTTTCATTGCATAGTGCAACATTACAATACAAATACTTTAACAGTGAAAGTTAAATTGTAACCAGCTCCTTTAACAAAGAAAGACAAATTAGATATAATACATACCCTTTTCTGAAAATACAGAAAATACATTTTATAATTCAAAGTTTTATATTATCTAAGTTGTAATTCTTTTATTTCAAAAGAAACCTTTGAAAAAATACTTAAACTTCAGTTTTGTTGCATTACATATTACAATTTCGAATGGTCTGAAATTGAGTTAAATGATACTTTAAAGTTAGTAGTTAAATTGTACTTTGGATTTAGCAG